AACTTTAGGTAGGTACGTCAGTACTAAGAAAACAATCTTGATGGGTCACTTGTCTTGATAAAAACCTGTGTTTACGTTTAGTGATATTGAGTATATATAAAAAAAAGTAAGAAGACAGGTAAGTATTTTTGAAAAAAATTTATAGGTAAGCAGAACTAATTACAATTATTATCTAAATATTATAAATGCGAAAGTTTGGATATTTGGATGGACGAATGAAAGGATGTATGTTATTCAATCACGCCAGAACCGCTGAAGGGACCTGGATGATATTTTGCTCAGAGATAGGTTATAGTCTGGAATTTTATTTTATTTTATTTTTTAAAAATACATTACCCCCGCACTAGCATTTTCTCCTGTATAGTGGAAGCAGTTTACAAACATCCAGACCCGGAACAACTATTTGTAGGCCATACAAATTTTTTTTTTCTTATTTAAAAAACGTTACACCCACACTAGGAGTTTCTCCTGTATCGTGGAGGCAGTTTACAAACATAAATTGCACAAGGACAAACATCCAGACCCGGAAGAATTATTTGTAGGCCATACAAATACTTGTTCCGTGCGGGATTCGAACCCGCGGCTCCCAGTAATATAAAATATTTCGTTCCCGTGGGATAATTTTTGCAGTTACACACGTTCGAAGCCGAACTCTTGAGTGATCGCTGCATAACCACTCGGAAAAACTAAACATAATAAAATAAGCAATCTATATTAGGTATATAGAGCCACAGAGGTATAATATGAAGCGATAAAGCAGCGCCTAATCATTTCGCGGTTTCACCCGCGTCATCATGTGTCCGAGATGCATGGCATGACATGACACCTAGTTTTATAATTGCAATCAAATATTTTATTTGATAATAATGTATGGAAAAATTGTCATAATTAATGAAGTACTTTTATTTTATCTGTCGGCATACTATGCGCGGTTTTATTCAGTTTTAAAGAAAAACGTACACGATACATGAAAAGTGTGTAGGCAAGAAATGATTCTTGATACATTTGCTATCAACCTCTTATACTCTTATACGGCTCCGTGGCGCAGTGTCTTAGCAATGAGTTGCTGAGCAGGGGGCCGCGGGTTCGAATCCCGCACGGATCAAGTATTTGTATTTGTATGGCCTACAAATAATTGTTCCGGGTCTGGATGTTTGTCCTTGTGCAATTTGTGTTTGTAAACTGCCTCCACGATACACGAGAAAATCCTAGTGTGGGGGTAACGTCTTTTTTTTAAAGAAATAAATAAAATAAAAACTTATTAATCAATTAAACTTTCAAAATACCATAGCAACGTGAAATGAAAGAGTTCAGAATTAACTAATCATTGTTACGCTCACCTGGGAGATAGATAAAAGCACTCAATTAATTTTGAATTTATTTTAGCTACCAGCTGTTCCCCGCGACTTCGTCCGCATTTAGTTTAGGGTGTTAATTTTGTTGCACGGACGCCTAATAATTTTTCTAAAATTTAAGCATTCTAAGTTACTACTTATAACATGAGCTATCTACTAGTGAAAGTCCCGTCAAAATCGGTCCAGCCGTTTTGGAAATTAACCGGAACAAACAGACAGACAGACAGAAAAATGTTAAAAATTGTGTTATAAGTAGCGTATATAATTTCATATGCAATTAGTAAAAAGCTGTTATTTTGACATTATAACAGACACTTCAATTTTATTTATTTGTGTAGATATAGATAATGATTGAACTAACGGCTAACCTAACCTCGCTCATAGAAGCTTTCAATACTGGCTTCTCAGTTCGCACCGGGCTAGGGGTTATGCGTTGTTTGCGCGTCAAGGCCAAGTATTGAATTATTTTAATTTTACATTATCTCAACTATGTACTATATAAACATGGCATAAACAACGAAGTTTATCTTCAAAAAATTGTCTTGATAATGAAGTAACTTTCGTTCGTAAGGATAAATATGCCATGCCTAATAATTAAATTTTCATTTTTTTTTTGTCAAAATAAAAATGCCTAATTGTGGCTTATACGAGTATATAAAAAATAGACATATGGTATCGCGGACTTTTTTTTAGACGGAGTAAAGATCTATATTTTCTGCTTTATTATATTAGTATAAATGTTGCATCGTGTTCGTGTAACTTCGTTTTTGTTCAAACGGTTCTGAATGCCGTACGAACAAGACGTGCGTGAATACTAGTGTCGATATGCTCATCACTGATACTATCTCTGTCGGGCACGATGCCAGGTGAGACAGCGTGCTTTTTGGCCGCGCCCACCAGCGAGTTCGAGCCCGCGACTTGTGCCACCTTAATTTGAAAAAAAAAAGGTACTTATATTATTCATTGATATTTACAAATGTTAAATATTATTTAATGTTATACAAATGTAAAAGTAAAGTCGATCTGAAAACGTCTAATTAGTAAGAATAGCAAAACAAGTGTTTTCAAAAGGAAAAAAACGCCGGCACTATACGGCGGCGGATTGACAAGACTATTTATTAGCGAACTTTTTTTATGCATGAACGGTTTCGATCTGTTTCAAGCAAAAATAAACCTTATATCATATCACAAGAGCACATGGTACTTCGTAGGTCTATTCGGCCATATGATAGTAATAAGACGGCAGTTCAACCATTTTAAGCAAAATTTTCTTTTATAGGATCGGGTGACAAACGAGCACACAGTCCACCCGATGGTAAGTGGTTACTGTGACCCATAGACATCTACATCTATCCTCAATAAAGACTCAAGATGCAGAATGCGTTGTCACCCGTGAGGACCAAGATGGAATGCCTCTTTGCCAGTAAAAAGAGTCTCCGGTTCTCTACACTCACCATACGAAACACAGCAGCGTTAAGCTGCTATTTTACACTAGTTTTCTGTGAGAGCGTGGTCCTTCCCCGGTCGAGCCGACCCATTCGTGCTACAACCATAATATAGCTGCAGCATGGCTCTACCACGCAAAATTAAACAATAAGACAAACGCATTGTTTTTTTTAACAGGAAACTTCTTTTCCAGAAATTTATTTACAACTTGAGTTTGTGAGCGATCGCAATGAGTGCTATTATTTGTTACTTATTAGACAATTTTTCCATAACATGATTTAAAACCTACAAAGTAAAAATAGTACCATGTACACGTTAAAAAAAGGTTGTCAACCTCTAAAAAATTCAAATTTTCAAAATATCCAGAAACGAAGCTGCATGCATGAACTACTCGCAAAATAATGAATATTTTGTTCTGGATAAATTTTCCAAAAAAGGAATTTGAGCGAGTTAGACCTTCAATTCGCATTAGACCGTGACATTGTGTCGCACTCTTTTGCTGCGTAATCCACACATAAATGAGAGAAAGAAAAGTGACGTATATTATAAAATCGGCTGTAAATTTAATATTAAAATAAATAAGAGATAAAAACAAATATATTCCACAGTACATTTATTTTTACTTATTATTTTTATAATAAAGCTTTTAATGATGGTTATTTTGCTACCAGTAAAACACAAATTGCATAGTAAATTACATACTATCCAGTTCAGAATTTATTACATTAGCGTTAAAATCTCAAGACAACTTATTGTATGATACATTAGTTATTTCAGTCCTTTTATGCACATAAATAATGGTGAAAGCTTATGCCCATTTTTTAGTGTTATTAAAGTAAAACTGTAACGTCGTACATTTTTGCTGTCCGACTGCGGCGAAAATTAATGAGTTTCAATTTTTCACTGATAGACATATAGTAATGAATGACAAAAATATTCTTAAGATAAAAAATTCTATAGGTAGTTCACCATTTTAAATTGAATTGGGACGCATCTTACATTTAGATGCCTCTAGAATTTTTTTTTTTTACAATATTTTAATGCCTCGCATTGCATAGTTTTTGGGAGATTTTTATGACAGATAAGACGTATGAAACACAACTAGAGCAATTGTTTTAATAGTATCCACTGATTACATGTGCAGACATTCATTTAACAAAATCGCACCGTTTTTACATATCCATATTCTCCTTCAAACCATTATACCAACCAGGAATACAGGCATACTTAAGGTCAAGTTCTGTCAAAATCGCACATGTAGATGATGTGTGATGTTTTTTTAATTATTTAAAGGATCTATGCCCATAAAGCCTAGACTTATGTGCAGTTGTCTGCAAAATCGTTTACAATATATTGATGAACTGACATAGCAAAGATTTTGTCACAGCTTAATCCGAAGGCAGTCTATGGCAATAGTATTTCTAGGCACCAAAAACAGATAATAACTTGGAGCTTTTGTTTGTGTCCATTAATATCATTTGCAGACTTAACACACAAAACTGTTTACAATATTCTTGATGTGTCACACTGCAAAGTTGCTTTGAAATTTTGGCAGCATATTAAACTCACAAAGTTAAAACTAATTTTTTAAATGTATTCATATAAGAGACTGACACTTGTGTTATTTACAATATCAATCAGGCATAGGGCATAAGACATTTTGCTCTTTCTAATTTACTTGATACCTACAGCACAAAGGTATCTGCAGTGCACACAAATAAAATCATTTAAGAAAATAATTTATGCTTTTTACAATGTGCCTATTAAAGGGTTGAAGGTGAAGTTTCTAGCAACATTATTTATGGGATATTATAAAATCGAAAAATTCATTCACATATCAGATCAAATTATAGAAAAAAGTTGTAGTATTAAAGTAACAAACAGTATTTCGTAAGACTACCATTTGCTAATTGGCTTGAAAATGCTTGTGAGGAATGTCCTTAAAAATAAGTAAGAAGTACTATTAATAATTGTGTTATCATAGTTGTTAGACATAGGAATATTTCTCTGACGGAGCTATTAGAGGTAGATTACATTCCTTAATGTACTTGTGCTAAAAACTAAATTGCTAGAAAAAGATATAAAATTATCATAATTGACTCCATACATGTATCATTTTGATCATTTTCTTTTTTCAGTTAAGTTTTAAAACCTATGTCTAACAGGCTAATGATAGCAGAGTAATATTTTATCAGCAAATTATTCAAGACGGATAAGTTCCACGTCAAAGATGAGGGTTGAATTTGGTGGGATCACTCCAGGATGACCTTGTTGTCCATATGCATAGTCAGGAGAGCACGTTAACTTTGCCCTTTCACCAACGGACATCTGCAATGATAATTTTGTTGAAATATAACTGTAAATTATAAAACTCTGAAATCACCTTTTCATCATGGATTATCATATTCTAGCAAAATTAAACTGTATATGAAATGTAATGTACAAAATTAAACTGTATTATGAATGTTGCAAGTTAAAAAATTATTTTTTTACCTTATTAAAATTTATTATATAATATTACAAATAAATAAATTGTTACATCTGTCTGTAATATCATATCACTGCTTTCTATTAAGTCTGTCTGTCTGTACAGAGATAGAAAGCACTACCAGTAGTGATCTAGGTAAAGTTACTGAAATCATAAGACTGATATACCAAATGGTTATTGATTATTTTCACTTAAAGTATATGAGATGTATATGGAGAACACATATTATTAAATAATCAAAATGCTTGCTTTATTTACTGGACATTAGTATCAATTAGATTTTAGAGCTGTTTTATATATATACACATAATATTATATATCTATATCTATCGATAATATAATAAAACTCCAACACAATGTCTGTCTGAATACACATCACGTAAAAACCTGTGAACCAATTTGGATGGGAATTTCACTGACAGATAGCTGATGTTATAAGGAGTAACTTAGGCTACATTTGTTTTAGGAAAATAATTAGAGTTCCATGCAAAAAAATTAAAACAAATTGCAAATAAGTTTCTCATGAACAAAGTTACGGAGAACAGCTAGTATCAAATAAATAAGTATTAATATAAAATTCTTATACAACAACCTGAGCCACTCCCTCGTCCCAACCTCTGATAACCTCTCCCTTGCCAATCTTGAATTTGAAGGGCTTGCCACGGTCACGAGATGAGTCAAACTTCTGTCCATTTGTAAGTGTGCCGGTGTAGTGAACCACCACAGTTTGGCCCTTTTTAGGGTATGTGGATCCTAAAATATTACATAAAAATATCTTTTACAGTAGGATAATAAACAGATTTCATTCATCAATTACAGCGCTTCAAAGTTCCCTACTGAACTTACGTCTCATAAGAGAATAAGATTTAAAGCATGGGACAATGTATTAGGGGATAGTGGATATTCTCACACCACCACAGTCATATAAACAGATTATGAAATAACAAAAGAAAGAACATATTTTGTAATTTAATTTTCCAGACATTGGCTAATCGTAGGCAAATGTAACAAAAGTATTTTTGAATACAGTATTAAGTTAAGTAAAGTAAGGAAATTGGATTTTTGCAAGCCATCCAAGTTAACCGGTGTGATGTAAAAGCTCTTAAAACATCCTTTTTTGTTTATGATTATGGATTTATTTCAATTCTGGGGACAAAACTTATCTTAAAATATGCCTGACAAGTGACAATTTTATGAAACAAGCAGACTATATTCTTATTTTGTATTTCCTTTTCACTGCACTAATACGTGGTGTATCATTCTTGCAGTGAGACGGATAATAAGCGATACCATTTCCATCTCAGTATAACAACCCGATACGAATTGTGCCGCACATCCAACCACAGCTCAAGGTTAGGGGTAAATTTAAAGGAAACGTAATATCGTAAAAGTAATCATATGTTCAAAAAGCCATACCATCACCGGGAGAAAGCGTTTCCACGTTGACTCCCATGGTTATTCTTCTTCTTCTTTAGAAAAGAAAAATTTTCGAGAACTCACAACGCGGTGAACCAAGATCCAAGACCAGCGTTGCCAACACCAATTTGTGAAATTCCCCGAAAAACCGAAAATGCATGTCAAATTCCCCAATTTAAGGACAAACCTTCAACAGATTCCCCAAATTTCTCTCAATTTATTTTCAAGAAACGAAACAATTTTCAAGTTATTTTCTAAGATTAATTTTTTAAGTAATTTTTTTTTTCTTCTTTACCGTTTTTTTTTCACACTCCATATTTTTGTAATAAGCATTTTACTCCATGGAGTATTTTTAATTCCTTCCCTTGTTGCCATTAAAAAGTACCACAGTATCTGCATTTATATGCATGCGGTTCTCTGCTTTAAAATAAAAAATAAAGAAATCAAAAGCATTAAATGATACACAAAAGTAGTCGAAACAAATCCGAAAATGGAATGTGGTGCAATGAAGATACTTAAAAAAAGGGAGTCATTCAGTATTCATAAGTAACCTAACAAAAATGTTAAGATGAGTATTTAGATTTATCAAAAAAATGTTCTGACTTGGTCCGGGCTATCGATTTTCAAAATCCCCGCATAATACCAATCCCCAAAAATCGCCAACCAACTTTAAATTCCCCATAATTTGGGGAATTCCCTACATGTGTGTACTATACTCTTTGGTGTCTTGGCAATGCTGTCCAAGACACCAGAGTATAGTATCTGTCCTATCAAAAAAGTAGTGATGGTCAACTCGAGTTACTACTTACTAACTGTAACTCGAACTAACTCGAGTTGGATTCCCTAACTCGAGTTTGGGCTGCTGTACATGAACGGAAAGTCGGAAAGTGAGCCAGCAAAAAAGTTTCAGCTGCGGATGTCTAACACTTAGACACGAAAATATCTTCGTTTGCTGCGGGTGTCCAAGTGTTAGACATTTTTTACCCGCTTTTTTAATGAAGAAACAAAGCATTATGCACTATGTCTAAATCATTTTACCATATTTCGATGTGTACAGGATAAAAAAGGATAGCACAAAAAGCCCCTAGCTTACACACTTTAGTACGATTTTTTATCAAAATCATCTGTTGATTTCGTCTGTCCCTTGAGTCAGCCATCAGTGTGATTGACGCGCGCTAACATCGGAGTTGTTTGCAATTATTTCGTACAACTTTTGATTGATTGTGTAGTGAATTGTGTTAAAACAATGCCTGGGTAAATAACCTTCCTATTTGTAACCTCATTTTGTGTTTTATCTCATTTAGTACGTGTGAAATGGTTTTTTAATTTGTATGAAACAAACCGCTATCTTAGAACTAACATGCATGTTGCGGAAAGTAAAAAAACAAATCGAAGGCATGCCTGCGATTTGTTACGCTAAGGCGTAGAGGCTGCTCTTCCCGCAGCGCCGGAGACGTAGCAGTCTCAAAATAGATACAGAAATCCTTCTGAGTCAGTCCCCCTATATTTTATGATGAAGGGGATTTTTTTCTCATAAAATGGATTTATATTTACATTATAAATGCAAACATGAAAAAATATAGATATTTTAGAAATCAATTTTTTGGGAATCGATACATCAGCTTACAATTCGAATCTATTTAAAAAATCGATCGTTTTCGGAAAGAATCGACATCCCTACTGACAATAACAATAAAAAATGGCTTCAGTTTTATTGTAGGATTAAACATAAACAATGCAAGAATAATTGATTTTCAATAACGTATTTCTCAAAAATTACGCGCTTCCGCATGTTGTAACTTTGTGTGTGTGCTTATAATAGTGTAACTTTTCTGTAAAAATACGTATCAACCCCTAACTCGATGGGAGTCAATGGAAAGCTAAACCTTAGTAATTATTGGTGGTGATGATGATGTTCCACAATTTTTGCCATTATTTGTGGATCTACTTTTTTTTAATATATATTTATTGACTAATGCATGAATGTCGCATCCAGTCCGAACTACATTCTACATCCGTGTAAATTGATTGTTGGGTACTTGTAAGCTTATTTCTAATGCGTTTTATGATAAAAAATTGTATTGTAGCCTATAATTTTGCACATAAAATATTATAAATAATAGATTTAAGGTTAAAACAAAACAAAATTCAACTATTAAAAAACTCTGTTTCATTGAGATATATGACAATTTTGACTTTACTCAACATTTACTTACACTAATTACTTTGGGACTTATGTACCCATTTATAAGAAATTCCACTTAAAAGTGAGGTAAATTTGTTCGAAAAATGTAAAATTTTATGTTACTTTCTGTACTATTAGTTATATTTTTTATAAATTTGGTTATAAATAAATAAACCAAATCGCAGAATATTAATAAAAGTAGAAAAAAATAGTTAAAAATGTGCAAAAAGTTAAAGAGCAAACCACTGAAACTGATAAACTTTGTGTAACACAAAAACTTTACTGTCAACTCATCTAGTGAGGGAATATTATTACCCCTCCTTTTGTTCTTATTTTAGTATTCCCTCTATGTTAGTAATTACTCTGAGGCTAGTAATATCAATAGTAATATCTTTTCGAATCTAATATGTTCATGTAATAAAGGCAAAAAGAGCTATGCCCTACTCTGACGTGTATTTTGTTCAAAAATTTTTCACAATATGCTGATATGTCATACTGCGAATCTTTTGAGAGATTTTGAAGATAGCTTAACTAATCAAGCGTCGGACCCCCCCCCCCCAACCCGGACTATGAATTTATAATACTGGCAGACGCATTTTAAAAAGCACATCTCAAAAATAATAATTATTTAAACTGCACCCATGTAGTTAAGAAATAAAAAATAATTAAATATCCTTCACCATATAACGTCGATATTACTTCAAATATTTAGAGTTGGGTACTTTTTGCAATATAAAAAAACTGCACCTTATTTACTAAAACCAAATTTGTTAAGTATCGAATGGGTGCATTCGACACTTAACAAATTTGATTTTATCAACTTTTTGTGCTTATGATTGCATTTTATGCATTTTAACGATGGTGCAATTATATTCAAGCAAGGTGCATTTTCTTATATTGCTAAAAGTACGCAATTATAATTATTTGAAGTAATATCGACGTTATAAAGTGAGCGATCTTTAACTATTTTTTATTTCTAATCTACATGGATGCAGTTTAAATCTACATCTACATCTACACTTCTACATCTACATCTACTTCTACACTTCTACATCTACATCTACATCTACACTTCTACATCTACACTACTATTATAAAGAGGAAAGATTTGTTTGTTTGTTTGAATTGAATAGGCTCCGAAACTACTGAACCGATTTGAAAAATTCTTTCACTATTAGCATCCTACATTATCCCTGATGAACATAGGCTATATAATATTTTCAAAAAAGTTAGGGATCTGTATGAAAACTTCGTTAATGTAACCCAAGGTGTGAAAAAAATACCAAAAAGAATCTTTATATCGCGTACGCTGCGGAAACTATTGATAATAGAGCAAAGTAATGTACTTCAGTTTTATAGAGGATATCAATATCTGCAAAAAAGCCTGCGATACCATGTTTAACTATTACAGTTATGTCACAATAAATACTTTTTCATGTTAAAATGCGAAATAGTAACGCCGGTACGAAATAGGCCACATTATTCGTATCAGTACCTGTATCATGCATAACCACCAATTACGTTAACCATATAATTTTAGTGACATATTTCACTTTTTAAATCTTTGTTAATTCAGCAACCGTCCGTCGTGATGTCTCTCTCGAAGTTCGCATGTCACAAGGTGCAGACGCGTGATATACGCGGGTGATACCGCAGGGCACAGCTAGTAATTAATATTTTTGAGATGTGCTATTTAAAATACGTCTGCCAGTATTTTTTATATATATATACAGTATGCATTTTATATATATATACAGTATTTTAACGGTGGTAGAGTCACGCAGCAGCTTTTGCTGTTGCACGAATGGGCCGGCTCGAGCCGGGTTAGTACCACGACCTCACTGAATACCGGCGTGAAGTGGAAGCTCTGCTTCTGCGTTTCGTCTGGTGAGTGCAGGTGACCGGAGGCCCGATTACCCCTTCCCCATCAACATGGTAGCGGAATTACATCATAGACTACCCCAGGAGGGTACCAGCACCCCTGGAGAATCCCTCGCTGAGCATCCACGACCATGCTACTCCACTCCTGAGCGTGGGTGCTCAGGCTGCCCTGTCTGGGGGGGGGGGGGCAAAATTCCGCTCAACACAATAACTGCTCGGGGCAAACTGAGCAACAAGACCAAGGCGACCCCTGCTACGCTATCCGTGAATTTCTGCAACATCAGGGGACTTCACTCGAACCTAAACACCGTCCACTAACATCTCGAGACGGCGAAGCCGGCCTTGCTCTTTCTGACCGAGACGCAGGTGTCCTCTCCGGCTGATACGAGTACTTCGTATCTTTCCTACCCGGGGTACAAATTGGAACACTCCTTTGTGCCTCGGGCTGGAGTTTGCGTATACGTCAGAGAGGACATCTGTTCTCGATGCCTTGGCAGTCTTAAAGGTTCGGACCTGTCCATCCTTTAGCTACGCATAGATAGCGACGACCATCCGCGCGTCTACGGGTGCCTCTATAGGTCCCATAGCAGCAATGCCGAAACAGACCGACTCATCGACCACGTCCAAATGCAAATCCTTGGTGATTTTAATGCCCACCACGCCGAATGGCTCGTTTCACGTTTAACTGATCATGCGGGGAGATCTGTTTATGACTTTGCGTTGGCATATAATTTGACACAACTGGTGACATCGCCTACGCGGATTCCAGATGTGGAAGATCATACACCTTCCCTGTTGGAACTTCTGCTGACCTCTCATCCGGACGGATATCAGGTTTCCGTCGATGACCCTCTCGGCTCTTCGGATCATTGCCTGATCCGGAGTGTGGTGCTACTCACGTTCCTCTCGCGGTTGCGTTCTGCAGGTTGCCGCCGTGCTTGGCATTACAGGTCGGCGGATTGGGACGGAAT